ATCTTCTTATTCCTTCTCACTTTCGTCTTTTCCTGCTTTTTCTTCGCCGTCTTCTTCTTCCTCCTCCCTCTCCTCCCCTTCTTCGTCTTCTTCTTACATAGAACGCCAAATGTCCTTGACAAAGACTTGGGCCATATCCACGTAGCGAAGCTCACCCATGTACTCGGGATCTGTAAAACAACGATTATGCGGTCAAATAAATCGCACCGTAGTAATGTGAGCGAATTAAAGAAAAGTGTGAATATATATATATATATATAACAGGTGGGTGGGTGAGTGGGTGTGCATGGTTAGATGGATCGGTGGTTGGTTTCGCCGTTCATTATAAGGTAATTTATTTTAAAACCAACTGAAGGAAACAGCGTGGGAGATACGCAGAACTCGCGCCTGCTTGTTGTTTATGGCGCTGTCACACCAACGTATGCAAGCCAGCGTATACCGACGTAGGAAAAATTTGGTGAATACGCTGGCGTACGTCGAATAAGTTATGGGTAAGTTTTGTATAAGTTAAGAGCACGCTGAAGCACGCTGGTATACGTCGTAGTATGGCGAGGTCGTCGAAAATTTTTGTGCATGCATAAAGTTTTTCGACGTATGCCAGCGTATGCCCATACGTCCCGCATACGCGGGCCAGAAGTTGTAGGTAAGTTATGCGATCGTTGACACACGTTCAGACACGTTACTTGTAAGTTACTCATAAGTCGAAATACGTCGAGATAATGTCTAGCTTACCCAAAACTTATTTCTAAACCTATGAGTAACTTATATCGAACTTATCTCCAACGCATATTGACGTATGTAGACGTATTTGACGTGTTCCGGACGACCACAGAACTTACAGAACGTGTTTCTAATTTAGAGCTACCGTATAATGGCGTATTGGCAGCGCTTAGGACAATTGGTATATAAAAATGGTATTGGCATGTTGATACTGCGATGGAGATGTTGATACTGCGATGTCTAGTACGGTTATGATTTGAATCGTCGAGCGGCAGCCTTTTTATAGGCTACGACACGTGATCGTCGGCGAGACGCTGCCGCGCGCTATGCACAAGTTAGACTATCGTTGGGCATAAGTTGTGAACGCCAGCAACACGCTAAGCATTCATTGGTATAAGTTATCTATAAGTTATCGAAACGTTCTATATAAGTTACTAATACGTTATGTATACGTCCAACTCGTTATGAATACGCTATGTATACGTCCAACTCGTTATGAATACGCTATGTATACGCCCAAAATAAAAATAAACATCGATAGTTCAGCGTATGCCAGCGTTTTAGAGAAATTTTGATACGTCGGCATACGCTTGTTAAATCGTCAAAGTGTGACAGGGCCATTAGGGAAGAATTTAAAATAAGGACTCGCGCGCACAGACGGTCCATTTGCCTGTCTTTCAAATAACTTTTATTTAAAGCACATTTATCACTGAGCTGTATTTAATTAAATAACAGTATTATTTATAGCATCACATGCGCAAAGCGTTTATCATTACACCATATTAATTATGTTACCTGCAAACGTGGCGTTGGTAGGCGATAACGGAGCATGAAGGAAACCGTGCACAATCCACGAGAGCGCGGGAGAAAAGGGAGTAGGCCAGCGAACAAAGGACGTCACGTGTACGAGATCTCGCGAGAAAGAAGCAGTTTGGACGCTTCTCGCTACTCAAAAAACGTAATACGCAATTCATAATACGTCATTGGCCTCGCTAACGGGCGCCCCCAATATAGAAAAACGACGTGTTCTTTATATACTATATATTATATGTATATATATGTTATATGTATTATAGCCGTATATATCCATATTTTGTGCGTGGGTGAAAAAGTTGTGGCTGAAAAACGGCTATTTGCCTGCATAAAGTTTTCCGTGCTAACGAGGTCGTAGGTGATACCATTTGGGAGAGGGTAGGATGGGAGCTAGGATAAACGAGAAACAACAAGAGGTGGTGAGAATATATATATATATATATATATATATAGAGAGAGAGAGAGAGAGAGAGGAGGGAGGGAGGAGAGAGAGAGAGACGAGAGA